CAGATTTGTGGGATGGAAGATTTCTTAAAGAAATAACGTCTAAAACTGGAAAACTGAGGAGGGTGGTTTTCTTCTGTTTTTACTCTAAAATACCTTATTTTCGGGTCAAAAGAAATAAAGAAAACATGATATTCCTTATCTTGACATTTTGTTTCCTAGATTCCCATCACTGATGTAGGCTCCCAGGTCTAACTCTGCGTGGCTTTATTTTCTGCAGTGTGTTTCTAGGACCTTCCAGTGTCCATTCACTATTCCGTCAGTACTTTCCAAACAATGCCACGTCTCTCCTTGCGGGATTTCACATCTTTTTTGCCACTGCCGACGGATAGAAATACATTCTAGTTCTCTATTCCTACAAAGTAGATCGCTTTCACACTTAGTAGTTTAAAACAACGATGTATTGTTTCTCCTGATTCTGTGGGTTGCAAGGTTGTTCCTATACTGGTTTCACCTGGGCTCATTCCTACGGCTGCTGGTCGGTCCGCTGAGCTGGAACATCCAAGATGGCCTCATTCTCATGTCTGAGAGTTGGTGCTGGCTGTTGCCTCGGTCTTGTGGTCTCTTCACCTCCAATGGGCTAGACTTGCTTCCTTCCGTGGCAGCCTCAGTACGGCATGCCAAAGGGGCAAACGTGGACGTTGCAAAGCCTCCTAAAGCCTTGCCTTGGACGTCAGATAATGTCTTTTCTTGCTGCGTTTAGTTGGTCAGTGTCATTCACAAAGGCAACCCAGGTTCAAGGGAAGGGGAGACAGACTCAACGCCTTGATGGGAGAAGCAGTGAAGTCACACTGGAAAGAAGCACGAGAGGAGCTGTTGTGGCTATCACTGCACTTAACGCCCTGTGGAATGTCTTCCCGGTTCTGTCACTCGTGTTGATGTGTATGTGACAGTTGTCCTTTCCATCTTCTAAGAAGGGCCTGGTCATTATTATACTAAATATCATTCTTACTGCTCATACCAGCTCAGCTGTCACTAACCCTCTGGAAGCAGCCTAGTAGCTGTTTCTAAGGATGGCTTAAAGTGCAGGAGAAGATTGACTTGGGAAGAGGTGTAATTAAGATTTAAAAATGAGTTCTGTTACAAGCTGCATAAGGTTTTTAATGAGCTCAGTTATATACTAGTAGCTCTTTATAAATACTCTTAATCATTCCTTGGCCTTTTGGCTAAGGTCTAGTATCTATTCTCATCAGTTTAGTGTCAATGCTTTTAAATATAAAAGCAAACACTTACATACTTAGAACTTGTTTTTTTACAAAGATTTTTAGTGATAGCAATCCAGTGAAGGAAGTAGAACAGGTATTATCTTCCTCGTTGAATATGAGTTTGGGGACACTGAAGCAGTGAAAAATTATGTGGTTAGTTTGTGGCGGAGCTGTATTTGAGTCCCACGTCTCCTGTTTCCCAGTGCTGTGCCCTTTCCATGGCCTCCAAATAGTAAAACTCTAAGGATTCTGGGAAGAGTGGCGATGACTCAGAGGAGTCCCCATTTTCCTCAGTTCCTAGCTATTAGAACAAACTCTTTATGCCCTGAGGTAGGCACAGTGTTAAGTATAACACTTTGCATATGCGTTGTCTTTTGTCTTGTTTTTCTCACGCTCACATATGATGCTCACAACAGATGGGTGAAGCTGTCATACTCTTGACAAAAAGGAGGCTTAAAAACAGGAAAATGACTTGCTTTACATTTCAGGGCTACCAAGTGACTCATTCTGAATAAACTTAAATCTTCAAATTCCTAGTGCAGTGTTCTCTCCGCAGCAGGATTGGGCTCTAAGTCTCAAAGCATTGAAAATGAACATATGAATGGACATTCAGGTATGCCGGTTCAATTACCCCCAAATGATGGGATTTATAAACATGTATAAAGTGCTTCTTTGCATGACTTCGAGCAAGTTTCTTCCTCACAACACCAAATGCTGTCATTCAGTTTTTCTCATTCAGATGAGAATTATATTTTTCTCCTGTGGATGAAGAGGGGGTTGGACTACAATGATCTCTAAGGTTTCTTCCTGCTGTAGAATAAAATGGTAAAATTTGTGTTGCATGCTGTTGTCTGAGAAGACACGAAGGTTTCTAGAAGAGAGAAACATTCATATAGAAGACAGGAACTCATCAGGAACAGTTTTAAAGGAAGGTGACACAATGATTGTGGCTTTTTATGAGGTTCTGTTTTTCATCGAACAAGATTTCATGGATAAACATGGACTTTGTCTATCTAGTTGGAACTTATAATTGAGTAGGGAAGGTAGTCTTTAATCTGATAATTACACACACTGTATAAGGAGCAATGAGATGGCTTAATGGAGACTTAACAATAACTGAAATACAAAGACTAAGGACTTTAGTAGGCTTGAGGAGTAAAGGAATAGTGGAGAGAAGTTGGGGAAAGCATTCCAGCTTTGGGAATGACATATTCAAAGGCCCTGTGGTAGATGCGGCATAATATGTTTGAGGAACTGAAAGAAGGCCAGCATCTCTGGGATACACAGGGATCAGAGGTGAGAATGGTCCTAAGGGGGCAGGGGCAGGGTCATGCATGCATTATAGGCCATGTAAAGGATTCTGGTCTTTAGCCTAAAAGCAATGAGAAGCCATTAAAGTACATCTTCAAGAGGGGCATGAGATAACCATGTCTGGACTATGTCTGGACTTGGGTACTTGAGGTTGGGTTGGGAACAAGAGTGGGTGCATAGTGTAGTCCAATTAAGAACCCACCATAATGGTCAAGGTTAAAGGTGTTGGAATTTTTGGTCTAAGGCAATGGCAGCACCAGAGATGGGAAGACCTAGACATATATGAGACCTATCTGGGAGGTAAAATTCAGTTCATATGCAGACTGGGTCAAGAAAGACAGAGACATCATGGATGAAGCCTTGTCTTCTGGCTGGATGGTGGAAGTACTCGCTGGCACAGGGCTGGGTCTGGGGGGAAGAACCTGAGTTTCGTTTTGTGCTTGTTGATTTCGAGATGTCTTTGAGATGTCTATGTGGATACAAAGGTCTGGGGTTGAGAAAATAGGGACACACATTGGGAATCCTTGGAGCATGGATGGTAATTGAAGCCAGGATTGGGATAAAATAACTTACCTGAGAGACAATGGAATGAGAAAAGAGATATTTGGGGAACTGAATCTTGAGGGATTCCAGCTCTTGAAAGTCCACAGAGATGACTTTAGCCAACTCACTGGTCACTGAGAAAGAGGCAGGCACTGAGGGACAAGAGGAAAATGAGGACAGTATGGCTTCCTTCTAACATCTCATGCTATTAATGTCAACTAAAATGGGGACCTGCAAGATATCCATCACATATGGCTGCAAGGGAGAGTGCTTGTGGCCCTAGTGGGAGCTAGTTCGGAGGAGTGGTGAGGACAGAAGATGGAGGAGTTGAAGAAGGCTTGGGAAGGTAGGTGTGAGACAGGCTCTGTGGGGCTGGGTGGATTGTGGAGTGACTTTTATGTAGCTGTCTTAGTCAGTTTGGGCTGCTTTAACAAAAATATTGTAGGCCAGATGGCTTTCTCACTGTCTGGTGGCTGGGAAGTCCAAGATCAAGGCGCCAGCAGACCTGGTGTCTGGTGAGAGCTCTCTCCTTGGTTTACAGATGTCTTCACATTGTGTCCTCACAGAGAGAGAAAGAGGAAGCAAGCTCTCTTCTGTCCCTTCTTATAAGGGCAGTCATCTCATCATGGGTGTGTAGGGGAACAGAATTCGCTACCTCAGAATGTCTCTTTGGTACATGGATAATTTCAAGGCCCAAAAGACTTGGGAAGAAACTTTGACCTTTCTCTTAAATGCCTAAAAATATTTAGATAAGAGGACCTGTTCCAGGAAGGGAGCTATCACCATAGATAACTGTAGTATGAGCTAGGTTGTGGTGGACAGGGAGGAACCCAGCAAGGTTTGTTTGTTAAAATTCCTCTCCGTGCCCCATTGTCTCTGCATGACACAGCAAACGTTTATTTACCAAACATTTGCTTTTACATCTTCATATAAATTGCCTTCCTCCCCTTTGAAGTCCTGGACCACTGCCCCCAACATCCATCCTCTTGTCTTCAGCTGAAGATGGTATTAAGGTGAGGGTTTCTGGCAGTTTGGTGAGTTACTCAGTTTTCCTGAGTCCCTCCCATGTACACATGCTATTAAACTTTTAGCGATTTTCTCCTGTTAATCTGTCTCATGTCAATGTAACGCTTTGACCAGACAGAAGAACCTAGAAGGGTAGAGGAAAATTTCTTGGTCCGCAACAGGGCTCCACCCTCCTGAAATAATCATCTCCCGAAGGGCCCATCTCCTAATACTGTCACACTGGGTTTCAGTGTTTCAGGACACAAATGTTGGGAAGATACACGCGTTCAGTCCATAGCAGGCAGTCTTACTAGCACGGTGATCTAGGAAGTGGAACAATGGCTTCAGGAAAGAAATACCAGACTCCTTTTAGAAAGGTAGAGTGGGCTTTGGTCAGTAGCTCCCTTTCGAGATGGCTACACGAGTGCAGTTCGCTAATGCTAGAGTTTTGGATTGCATTTTCAGTTTCTTTCTAATCACCAGGAGAAGATGCACCTTGTTCATTTCTGAAGCAACTCCTCTTCACACTTCCATTTGGGGCAGCACAGGACAGCCACGTCTGTCTGTCTGACAGCTTTGCTGTGATACTTCACAGAAGCCTATGACGTAGTTCACATGAGTGATTTTCCTTTTGTGTAGGTTTCTTTTTCTTTTTCCTTCTTTTTTTTAAATTGAAGTATGGTTGATTTACAATATTGTATTAGTTTCAGGTGTGCAACATAGCGTTCAGAATTTTTACAGATTATACTCCATTTAAAGTTATTGTAAAATGTTGGCTGTATTCCCTGTGCTGTACAGTATAGCCTCGTAGCTTATTTATTTTATTACATGGTGTTTTGCATCTTGTGACCCCCTGCCCCTAACTTTCCCCTCCCCTCCTCCCGCTCCTCACCGGTAAGTATAGGTTTTTGTTTTTGTTTTTTCCTTCCTTCCTCCCAGGCTAATGAGCCCTGAAAACACACTCCTGCAGCCCAGGGAAGAGGAAGGGGTGAAGTATGAGCGCACCTTCATGGCGTCTGAATTCCTGGATTGGCTGGTTCAGGAGGGTGAGGCCACCACGAGGAAAGAGGCAGAACAGCTTTGCCACCGGCTCATGGAGCACGGCATCATACAGCATGGTGAGTGCGAGGGTCAGCCTCCGCCGAACCTGAAACCTTGGGTTTACCACCGCGAGCTTTTATTTCTCATTCGTGGCTCAGTTGGGGCTCAGATTGGCTCGTCTCCAAGCTGGGGTCAGGGTCAGGTATGTGTTTCATGCCTTATCGTTCTGGGACTCAGACAAAAGGAACATCCATTCTCTGGAATGTATTGTTTGTACCAAAGCTCTTGAAGGCAGGCCAGTTCTTGTAGTGTCTCCAGAAACTTCTGCGTGGGTTTATTTCACGTAACAGCTCTCATATTCAACTGGCTACAGCAGGTCATCTGGTCTAATCTGGATGGAAAGTAGATGACTCTTGCAAGGTTGGGTGCATTAGGGGAATGAAAACTTGGTGAACTCTGGTTCAAGCTGCCATAGTGAAGACATATCCAAAAAGCCTTCATCCAAGTTTTACTTTTTTTAGGGCTGAATCATAATAATGCAATATAATATGCTTAAGAACTCTTTATGAGTTATCTGTTACTGCATAAGAAATTACCCTAAAACTTAATGATGTAAAACATTAATAAACGTTTATTATTGCACACTGTTTCTGTGGGTCAGGAATTTGGGAGAGGCGTAGCAGGTGGTTTGGCTGGGGGTCTCTTATGACGTTGCGATCAAGACATTGGCCGGGGCTATAGTCATCTTGAAGGCTTGACAGGCTGGAGGGTTTGCTTCCACGATGGCTCACTTGCATGCCTACCAAGTAGGTGCTGGCTGTTGGCAGGAAGCTTCTGTCCATTGCTAATGTGACTTCTTCATAAGGCTGCTTGAAGATTCTCATGACATGGTCACCTGACTTCTTTCAGAGGGCAGGATCCAGGAGAATGCAAGACAGAGCCACAATGTCTTCTAACTGAGCCTTAGAAGTCACACATTGTCACTTCTTCAATACCCTATTTGTTACCAGGTCAGTCCTATTCAGTGTGAGAGCGTACTCTTAAAGGGTGTGCATGCCAGGAGGCAAGGATCACTGGAGCCGTTTCAGGTCTTGTGAGGCTGGCTGTCACCAGAACACAGGCTCTGGAATCCCAACTCTACCAGTTATTAGCCACTTACCTTCTCTCATCTGTAAAATGGGCATACCTACATAGGGTGACTGTAGGAATAAATGAGATAGATGTAAAGCAGTTTGATGCTCTGCTCTTAACAAGTGCTCAATCAATTTATTAATGTAGCTGCAAGGTGTAGGCTTAGAACAGTGAGGAAAGGGCTGGGAACCAGATAAGCATTTCAGCCTATGAATCAGTATGAAGGTAGTACTTGACCAATTCTTACTGTAAATTCCCCAACCCCCCACTTCTACACAGGCCTAGAATTTCTATCCCAGGGTTAGGAAGACAACAGTGGAATTTCAGATTTGAAAGTTTCTAAATTATTTGGAGCAGTATTTTACAAAAACCCTTTAGTGAAAAAAGTTTAGCGAGCCATTCTCAGCATTAAAAATAAATTTTTTTTAAACTAGACTAGAGTAGACTCTTACTACGCAAAGTGTGGTCCGTGGACCCAGAGTGTCACCTAGGAGCATAGTAGAAATGTAGAATCTCTGAGCCAACCCAAGTCCTGCTGAGTCTGATCTACATTTTAGCATAACCCCAAGTAATCTGAATATACTTTGAAGTTTGAGATTGTATTTAACTAGAATAGAAAATTTCAGAGCTTATTCTATGTAGTAAGGTTAAGGATTGTTTTGCAAAATGTTTATCTTAGATATTCACTACATAATCATACGGTCATAGTCATGTGTGCGTTGATTTGCAACAGAAAATTTGTTACTGTGCTTTGGGGTCAAATATTTTGAAAGCCACTGATCTAGAAGCATTGGTCCGAGAGGCACTGAAGCCCCGCAGTATCTGCCGGCGTATTTTCTCCTATGTGACTCTGCCACAGTCACACTCACAACTGTTTATGGATGGCCTGGTGGGTCTGCTGCCAGGCTGCTGACTGGGGTCTGGCAGGTGGATAGAAGAATTAAATGCCAGTGTGTGGTTCCCGACCTTAAACAGCCTATGTCTTGTAGGGATTATAAAATGAACATGGAAGCCGTTAGAGAGCAGTAGAAGATGCACGATATGTTTTACTTATTTGTTTGTTTATTTTGCACCATGTGCCAGGCACTGTTTTAGTGATTTTGCACCCACTAGCTTATTGAAACCTCTAAAACTCTTTGAGGCAGATATTCTAGTTGTTGTTAAGTTTATTTTATTTTGGTCAGAGCACCTACCACGAGATCAATCCTCTTAAATTTCTAAGTGTACGGTAATAGTATCGTTAACTATAGGGCAGTTATTTTTATTATTTCCTTTTACAGATAAGGAAGCTAACGCACTAATAGGTTAAGTAATTTGTCTGAGGCCACTCAGGTAGTAACGTCCAAATGGGTATTGTTGCTAAGAAATGCACTCAGAATTGGCTAGAGGGACTGGGGCTTTCTGCAGTGAAAAATGGTGTGTTTGGGTTAGAGTTAGTTCTGCCGTCTTTGCTCCAGACAGAAAACTTGGTGATACCAAGCTCTAGAAGAAAACCAGCTTTTTATACTACAATTTACTGACTGACACTGTACATCTCGACTTCAGAGGGAAGAAAGAGGATGCCACGAATTGCTTCCAAATGATTTCCAAAGAGTGAGTAATTACACTTTAATTACAGTGTAATTTCATAAAGCTGTAAATGTAAATGCCCTCAAGTTGCGAAGGAAGGAATGAAATAAGGTATTATGGATCGCAAGGCTTAACCACAGAAGTCTGCTTTCCATGGTTTTCGGAGGATTGAATATTCTCTATATACCGAAGTCAGAGTTTCCAAGAGAGTTCCAGTTTCGCAGCACAGAAGGTCATGGCTCAATCACAGATTCTAACTTTGATTTATGAAAGCATGGCCAACACGTACGTGTCCGTTCGAGTTAGTGATAGATACCAGCTAGTGTCTTAAGCAAAGCTCTGAATTGTCCAGCTAATAATTAATTTCACAGGTTACACATTAAAGAAAGACAGCCTTTAGCCTTTGAGAGAAGGTTTCTGGATACAAGTGATTTCCTAGCTTGGAACCAGTGGGTGTAAAACTCAGACCCACTTACAAAATCCTAACTAGCTTCATTTATGAGTGGTGAATGGTGCTCTGTAATCAAGACAGAACTTGTCAGAGGAGTGATTAACTTACATGCAAATGCATATGTATTTATATAAATATGCATGCATGTATATATTTATGCAAAGGCATATACGCTGACCATGTATGTATATGGTTATCTAGCTTTTCCATTTATTGAGATTTACCATGTATCAAGCACTGGGCTAAATACTTTATAGATTTTAATATATTGTGTATTTAATATATACATGCTTCACATATATGGCATGTATTTTACCTGTAATCCTATTAAATCCTCACAGCAATTCTATGACTTTGTTATTGTTATTATTATCATTATAGTTTTACAGGGAAGAAATCTAGGATTCAAAGCCTTTGAGATACTTTCCCAAGGTTGCATAGCTCAGTAGCTACTAGGCGTTGTGCCTTAGAAAGCAGTTTCCCTTTGTCTAGGATGTGTGTAATCGGGTGTGGCTGCCTGGCTGGCCTTGTGGAATGAACATGGTCTTTGGAGGGAGACAGACAGGATTTACATCCCAGCTCCTTCACCTAGTGAGTGACCTTGGCAGCATCTCAGAGTATACCTCTAAGAGGTTGCGCTCTTGAGTCTTGTGGGCTTCCCTGGGCAGGTATTCCGCACGTGTTTACTGCATGTCCTTGCTGGAGGAAGGAACCAGTTCCGTGTGGCCCTGGGAGGGAGAAGAGAGGAAGCCTGAGACTCAGAGTGTGAGATTTGTCTTGGGGACTGCACATAGAGGTACACTCTGCCTGCCCGGGCAGCTGCAACCACCAGACTCTCGGAAGGCAAGCACGTGCTCTCCATCAGTCACAGTGTTTGTGCAAACAATCTAGGCAGGCTGGTAGGGCAGAATTCAGGGCCCCAGGTAAGCAAAGTTGCCTTATCAGTGAGTAACCTTCCAAAAGCTACGTTCCCAGATGCTAGCCATGAGCCAGCCACATGTGCAGGCCTCTCTGCATCAGGACTGCAAAGATAACTCTTTCTTGCACAGAGCTGCTGTGAGGATTAAATGATAACAGTGGGCAAAAGCTTTTAGCAGAGTCTACCTCTTATGGCCCTCAAATGCCAGCTATTGTACTTGATCTGATCAATTCTAAATAAGAATTAAAATGTATAGAGTCCTTATTAAATGCCAGACACTGTTCTCATTTACTCATTTATTCTTCTCCGTAACTCTATGAGGTAGGCATCATAATTATTCTCATTTTTAAAATGAGGTTAAGTAACTTGAAGACGAGAGCTAGTAAATGGTAGATTCAAGATTCACATCCAGGCAATCTGACTCTTAATCACTGAAGAAGGGTGGATGCTAATTATAAGCTCCGCTAGACTGGAGGGGAAAAAAAAACTTTTATTGTATCAGCTCACACAGCCTGTCAGATATTGCAACTGTAATAATTGTTAAGTCATAAAATATATAAGATTCCCTTTTCACAAACGGTGACCATGTACCTTGAGATTTTTTGTGTGACCTTTTCAGATGTGATGAACACATTTCTCTACTCACATAAATACCTCCCTCCACTGCCTGAGCTGCTATCCAGCTATCTTATCCTTAAACGGAGGGAGATAGATGCCAGATAGTCACGTGGGTAAATTGCTCACAGCTGCAGCAGCTGACCCTGGATAATCAGGCTACTGCTGCTGTGTCCAGGCGTGTAATTTCCTCTTTTAAAGATTTAGTCAGAGCACCTTAACAATTTCAACACTTCATCAAGCCCTCTTTCTTTTTCTTTTGTTTTAAAAATATATTTGTATAACATTTCGCAACACGCAAAGCAGTTTTCCAAATATTATATTTTTAATCCTCCCAGCTGCTCGAGGGTAGTTTTGGTGATGCCGTCCTTGTGGCTGAGACAGCCTCTCTG